AGGAATACACCAGTAATTGGTTCCCTCGCAGAGGTTTACGGATGTGTTACAACACCTGCATGTCAGACTTGCCATTTTCAAACACCCTCAGTCGGGTGTTCGAATGTGGCTTCGCTCAGGGTGTGGAAGACACACGCACGTGCACGCGTGCCCTTCCCAACTCGATCAGAGGCAACGCTGCAGCTCTGAGGAATGCGCTTCTGTGCTGTGTCCCCACCCCCACCTCTCCCGTCATCTCCTCCGATGGTCTGCCCACCCTGTGTCTGCCTCCTCCCTGGAGCCCTGGGGAGCGTCCTTCAGCCCCTGGAGCCACAGGGACCAGCTCGGAGGCCCAGCTGTCATCCTTGGGAGCACTTCGCAAAGGCTGGGTTTCCAGGTCCTGCCCTCGCTTCCAAAACAACAGCTGCACCGGCGCGTCACTGGCCCTGGACTTGTCTGAAGGAGGCCAGGGGAGCCAGGAGGCTGGGGTGACGGGCCCCAGGGTGCGCAGAACCAGGCTGCACTCGGTCATTCTGCTGGGAAGCGACCCTCTCTGCCCGCCGGTAGCCGAGCCTCTAGGACTTCTGTCCCGTCTACAGAATAAGGAAAGAAGAGAGGTTACTCTCTACATCGCAGGCATCTCCTCAGATTTAGAAAGAGCATGACAATAAAATGCTAGCATGTTACGCAGGCAGTTGAGATAGGGAAGCGGGGACGCTGAGTCCCTGTCACAGGCCAGCAGCTGTGAGCTGTGTTTCACTGACTTTATCTTATTCCGTGACATCGTGCTATGAGCTGAGCTTTATTAGGATGTTCTGCAGGTGGCCAAATTCAAGTTTACAAAAGGCAATAAGAGGGCTGTTGTACTCAGCAAGTAGTGTCCAGACCCTCTGTGCCGCAAGCAGCCACGGAAGAGGCTGGGCCCCGGGGTGGGCTAGACGGGGCCCCGCTTTCTGTTAGGTGGCCTGGGCGGGAGACAGCCGTGGGCGGGCGAGCAGTCGGCCCCCGGGGTGGCACGTGCCACCCAAGGAGCTGGATGTGGGAGCTACGCAAAGCAGAGCCCGGCCAGCAGGAGGGCGGGGAAGCCCTCTGAGAGGGAGGGGTTTTAAAGCAGAGACCCAGTGGAGAAATCAGCATTAACAAGATGGGGGGACAGGGTTTGGGAAGGACAGAGAGAGGACAGGCCAGAGATGGCAGGGCCGCCTCAGCTGGGGCCCATAGTCACACCGCAGAGCTGGGACGTGTCTGCAGAGCGATCGGGAGCCGCTGGAGCAGCTCCGTGGGGAGGTGGCTTGACCAGGCGCCCCTGGGACAGGTTGCTTTGGCTGCTGGACAGGGAAGGGAATGTGGGCAACGAGGACAGACAGGGACCGTGGTCTTGGGGGAGGGTGGTGGTGACGGGGGCTGTCAGTGGAGACAGCGAGGAGCTGGGGGTTTTGCAGGGACCCGGGGCAGTCCCCAGGAGTTGTCCCCGAGGGCCACTCTCTGGTGACTGGAGGAGGCCGAGGCTGAGGCCAGCTCCCTGGTGGCCACGCTAGAGCAGACCGAGGCCACGTAAGAAAGGTGGGGAGTGACGGTAGAGACAAGAAGGGGGACAGGAAGCACCGAGGAGCGGGGCGCGGGGCGACGGCTGGGGGATGAGAGCCAGCGGGAGCGGGGGCCGGGAGCCCGCTGGGCAGGGGGGGCTGGAGGCCTGGCAGGAAGAGGGCCAGGTCTGAACCAGATCCTCTCCCGGGACAGCAGCACCATCTTTGCTCCAAAGAGTCCCTGCTCCCCTCAGCAGGCGTGGAGGGGCCGCCAGACGCCCCTCTAGAAATCACAGGGACTGGCCACTTCCGAGCAGGGAGCGAGCGTGGCGGGGGGCACGGTGTCATGGTTTTCTCCCCACAAAAATTACGTCTCCGCCGAAGGAGCTGAGTGTGTGGGGTGTAGCCTGTGAGTGGCCTTTCCGAAAGCATCCAGCCTCAGGCCATTCCTGTATGGGCGGAGGGGCTCTGGCAGGCGCTTTCTCCCCTTGTGTTGTGGCTGGACGACCTCCCAGGAACAAACCTCTCCGCAGGCCGCTGTGCTGTCTCCGTTTTCCTCTCTGGGGTGTGCCTGGCTCCCTGTGGACCACGCCTGGCTTTCTCCTCCTCGGGCCCATTCGGTGGAGGGCCCCGTGAGTGAAGGGCCCTGAAACCGCGCACCCTCCCCCATTTGGGCCTCAACTCGCTCTCCCTGCGCGGCATCCTGTGTGTGCACTTGCACCTGAGGGCGGCTTGGCCCTTCCAGGACGGTGTCCGGGTCTCCTGAGGATGCAGGTCACCTGCACACCTGCCAACGTTAGTTCAGCGCCACCGACTAACTCACCCTGCAGGGCGACGGGATTCACTTCCTTTGCAAGTTGACTTGGCAGTTTTCTCGGCTTTGAGAATGTGCAGAGTAGATGGTGTGCGTGGCACTTGAGAAGTGGATGCTATGAATTTTGCATTTTCAAACCTGAGATTGGCTACAGAGTCCACCTCCCAACCCCTCCGAACTACAGACTACCTCCCTCCTGTGTGGCGCCGTGTAGCACCTGGAAAGGCAGGAAAGTGGCCGCTGCCTCCCCCAGAGGACCTGCATTGGGGCGAATGAGCTTGTTAGTGCTGGCCTGGCACCTGGGCAAAGCCACGACTCTCAGCGTCAGAAAAAACTCCTTCATCTCCTACTTGCGCGCATGGCTGAGCGTGAGATGCTGGGTCCTGGCTTGAGCAGGCTTGTGACCTGCCCCTTCCCACCTTGAAAGACTGCAGGGGCGCCAGGGGTCGTGGTGAGCCTCCGGAAGTGGGAAACCCCACAGGGAGAGCTCCCCTCGTCCGCTGCTACCCAGGGCAGCGTCATCTGTGCTGCCCCACGTGGTGACGTGGAGTCACCACGATGCGTGCGTGCCTGTGGAGCACTTGGAGTGGGGTGGGTGCGACAGGGGAACTAAACTTCAGTCTTTAGTTACTTTTTAATTACTTTAGATGTAGGCAGCCGCACGTGGCCAGTGGCAGCTGTGCTGGCCAGCACGCATATCCATCCTCACCTAGATCCTGCGTGGCCAAAGCCAGTTTTGTTTAGGTGCCTTTGTCTTACTGGTTTTCCGAATGCTGTGATGTTTGCTCTAAGCTCTCCTATAAATGCTCAGAAACGAGAGCAATGATAGTAGTGTTAACGAACACCACAGCTGTCACATGCTGAATGTTACTACACACCATGTGCTTTGCCAGGCAGTTTGCAAACCTTGTCTAATTTATGCCACACAATGATGTCCTGAGTTTACAGATGAGGAAACTGAGTCACTGCAGAGTCCAGGGACTCGCCTGAGTCACCAGGCCGGTCAGGGGTCTGGGGTCCCCTGCCAGGCAGTGCGGGCCCGGTGCCGGCTCCGGGCTGGTGCTGAAGGGGCAGCCGTGTCCTGGGGCTGAAAGCAAGGCCATCTCGAGGCCATGAACAACCTGGGTCTAACCAGGGCTGCTAAACAGCCTTTTGGTGTTTCTGGGCCACACATTAAATACACAAACACTAATGAAAACTGATGAGCACAAAGAAAGGTTTTAAGTGAATTTACGATTTTGTGTTGGGCGGCATTCATAGCCTCCCTGGGCCGCGGGGAGGACACCCCCGGGCAGTGCCGCCATCATGCTGCGCCTTGCGGAGCTTGGGTCTGGCGGGCGGAGACGGCGGGTGCAACGAGGGGCCTGCTCGCCCGCCCTGGACCGGAGGCGGCGTCTGGACGAGGCTGTTTCCTTCTGGAGAGGATTCGCCCTGCCCTTTCTGGGGCAGATGGGGGTGATACCTCAGCTCAGTGAGAGCCCGCGCTCGCCAGAGGCCAGCCCGGCGCTCGGCCAGCCCGGCGGCCCACTGACCGCTCAGGGCCCCAGGCTGCCCGACGGAGAGCCCGGGCGGCGGCCGGGGCCTCTCTGTGCCGGGAGACCCCAGCTCTAGCCTGCTTCCCAGCAGCGCCAGGAGACCCTCGGAACGGGGCTCTGTGCTGGAACGTTGTTGTTGCTTGGCTTCTTCCCAACCCGCCTCCTGCAGCTTTAGAATTTGGGGAAACGGCAGGCGTAGGGCTCACCTCTGTGCTCCTTCTCACATACTGGGATTTTGGCCCCACGGGTCTCAGATTTCTGTCCCACACGCGAAAGGTCACTGAATCCATGGCTGGTTTTTCTGCGTCTTGGTAGCAGCTCACTGCCTGGACCCTCTGTCAGAATTAGGGTAAAATCAGGGAGCTAGGGAACGTCAGCCCCTTCCCTGCACCGTGGTCACGCCTTCGGAGTTTCTCCCCGCAAGCTGTGCCTCGCTGCTCCACGAGGCCTCAGGGAGCCTGGACCCTCCTGCCCAGCCCTCCGTCCCAGTTTCCCTCTTGTTCTCAGGAGTGTTCCTTGGCCCCCGTTCCTCCGCCCTCCCTGAAACACGCGCTGCATGGTCTCAGACGGGCTGCGAACGGGAAGGCCCCTTCCGTGGGGAGGGCTCCCGTGTGTCTGTAGGGGTGTGATGTCGGCCTGTGAAAGGCTCACAGAATGACCCACATCCACAAACCCAAACCTTGGGCTAAGGCAAAGCTGAGAGCCTGCCATTCCTGGCGCCTTCCCGCGTCCCGGGCAGACTCTCCCTAAGAGCATTTGCCGTTCCTGAGTGGTAATGTCTTGGTGTGAGGTCAGTGGACAGTGTCACCTTCTCTGACAAACTGCAAGCGCAGTTCTGTCGGGTGAGCAGGAGGCCTCAGAGGGGCCTGGGAGGCCGGGTCGTGAGGGCGAGCCCACGATGGCCTGCCCCGCCAGCCTGGAGGTGGCCCAGGCTGCGTTGGGAACAGCGCGGCTGCCCTGGGAATCCAGGCTCTTGGCCGCACGCCTTTGGGGCGGGTGTCACAGCGGGGGAAGGCGCTGGACTGCGGCTGGAGAGGGGGGTGTGCGGGGGCGAGGCTCTGCGGCCGGCGCCCCGCGGTGAGGGCACAGAGCTGACACGAGGAGAAAGCCCACGGCTCACCGCTGCTTCCCTCCGCTTTTCTGCAGCCTGCACGGACAAGGAGCTGAGGAACCTGGCTTCTCGGCTGAAAGACTGGTTCGGAGCCCTCCATGAGGATGCCAACAGGGTCATCAAGCCCACCAGCCCCGACACAGCCCAAGGCAGTAAGACCATTGCATTCTTGCTAATGTATTTCATTTTTAATACCATATTTCCTCGGTTATCAGACATTGTTGAATTAGCGATAGCATTTTGCAGTGAACAAGGAGACACTACATTAAATACACACACTGACTTCAAATGTCCCAGTTTTAGCTGGTGTGGCTCAGTGGATTGAGTGCTGGCCGGCGAACCAAAGGGTCATTGGTTGATTCCCAATCAGGGCACACGCCTGGGTTGCAGGCCAGGTCCCCAATAGGGGGCGCATGAGAGGCAACCACACATTGATGTTTCTCTCCCTTTCTCCCTCCCTTTCCCTCTAAAAATAAGTACATAAAATCTTTTTTTAAAAAAGTCCCAGTTTCAGAAATACTAAAATATACAAGAGGGGAACATGACTTTGAATCAAGACAACACAACTAACTTACATGCATTGGGGATCTGCGGTTGGAGTCCACGTGTGCAGAGGGACAGCTTACGTTCCCTGCAGCTTTTCAGCTGTGCGGTGGCCTGCGTGCCTGCCCTTTGAGTGTTCAAGGGTCAACTGTAGGTTTTATAAGTTTATTGTATGTTTAGTATAGGCATTTTGGGAAATATATTAAATATATGTAAAAATACAAAAAATATGTTAAAAATCTGTAAGGCCACCATTAAATCTTTTTTTCTTTATTGATTTTAGAGAGAGGGAAGGAGAGACAAAGACAGAGATGTCAGTCTGTTGTTGCACTTGGTTATACACTCCGTGGTTGGTTCTGTCTGTGCCCCGGCGGGGACTGAACCGCACTCCCGGCGGATCAGGACGGTGCTGTGACCGCCCGGGCGGCCCAGCCAGGGCTGCTGCCCATCATTCGAACAGCTGTCACGCACGTCGCGGTATATACTTTTTTCCTCATCATACAGGGGAAAACGTACACGGTGTATCACCCTTTGCGGACTGTTTCATGGCCTCCTGTCGGTCACGCAGCCGTTCCCTGCTGCCATCTTTCTATGCCACTGAGTAGTAGTTTGCTTTGTAACAGCTACACGGTATCCCAGTTTATGGATATAACATAACTGATGTAAGTAGACCTTTATTTTTAGAGACCTGAAGTGGTTCCATATGTTCAGCTATTTTAAACATCGTAGCAGACATCTTTGATAATCGGTCTTTGTGAACATTTGTCAGACTGCATTTCATTTTCCACAGAAACCCCTAGACAGGTGCCCCTCACCCATCACCTGATTGGCAGAGCGACGCACAAAGCCTCTTCATAAACTGAAGAGAAGGCGCAGAAGGGGTCCTCATACTTGCGCGTCGACAGGTGGTTGGGGGTGGGCTTCTCCGCACTGAGGCCAGTCAGCCCGGAGCGGGGGAGCCAACCGCACAGTTACTGAAGGTCACGGAGCTCTGACTGCTGGGATTCCGAGCTTAACCAGCATCAGGTCTTCAGCCAAAATAAGAATGAACTCCTTGATTGTTGGCCACTCTGTGCTTGGAGCCACAGATGCTAGTAGGGAATACAGGGGACAACTCTCTCACTAGCTTGGATCTTCTACCTTAAGGGAAAGATAAGAGGTGCTTCCCAGAACCCAGGTGTCTGAAGGGCAGTGTGTCTGTGGGGACGGGAGATGCCTTATTCCCGTCCCTGTTGGGCCTCCCTGGGGAGCTGGGGGACTGTTAGTTCAAGGTCTAGGGGAGCTGGGCCCTGGGCTCCCAGAACCACCTTTTCACCCCCAGTCCCCAGGGCTCCATGTGCAGACGGGGGAGCTGGGGAGTGACCTGCCCTTGGCGAGACACAAGCTGAGTCCCGGCAAGGCTTGTAGGTTTGATGTCCTGAAGCCACTGGCGTGAAGGGAACACAGGAACGAGGCCGGGTCCAAGGCAGCAGACAGGCTATTGTCAGTCAGTCCTGAAGGGGGCTCCGTGGGACCCGAGATGTCCACATGCCAATTAGAAGGGCTGCTCTGTCCCCCGTCCCCGTATGAGAGGCTGGAGAGTCTTTTCTAGAATCTTCCAAGTAGATAGGGAGTGGGCTTGACCTTTAGACAGCTACCCAGCAAGCTTGGCACTTCTTCTTGGTGGTCAGCCTGCATGAGCCCCTCTTTCCCGTGGATGGAAGCGGTACCATCCTATGAAGCCGATGTGCAAAACACTCCGTGCGCAAGTGTGGAGCCGCTTTGTGTGTGAACCGCCTCCTTCACTCTGCCCTCTCTGAGGCGACGCCGTCGTCCTCCAGGGAATCGGTCGCGGCCTCGGCCCTGCACGGGGTCTCCCTTCTTGAAAAGGGGGTGTCCTAAGGTGTGTTCTGAGATACTGAAAGGAAAAATTTAAAAATGGAAAGATCTTTGTGTTTTAAGGGGTCCACTTTGCAGTATCTAGAAAACGTCTCTCAACGAACAGTTTACGGAGGAGCCCTGACCACGTGCCCGCCCCGGGGCCCCGAGGAGCCTCTGAGTGGAGGGGCGCAGGTTCTTCTCCCAGAGCTCGGGCACGGGGGGGTGGGGGATACTGCACTTACCTGTATTGAAGGGCGAAGACTCTTTGGTAAAAACGGTGCTTTGAAAAGGGAGGCCTACTTTGCTCTGTCTTATTTCCTACCCACTGAGCAGGGGTCCCTGGGGATGTGGGTAGGGCTATCGACCCCATCAGGACCCTGCATGGCCACCTGTCCCCAAACATGGCACCCTAGCCAACCAGGCGTCCTCGGGACAGGAGGGTCACAGGTCCTGCGTGCGAGGCCGGGGCAGCCCTGGGAGGGTGGGGTTGAGGCTGCAGACGGAGGTGAGCCGCCCACCCGGGTTTTGAATCCCAGCTCCACAATGGTGTGACCTGGAGCAAGTAGCTTAAGCCTTGGGCCCTTTCCTGGGGGGCAGGGGGGCGCAGCACCGTTGCAGAGGACTGGTCCAAGGATTCCGTGAGGTAGGTCAGGGTGCGGAGAGGAGTGTCTTAAGTAAGGCCAAAGTGACCCTCTGTCCTCACTTTTCTGGGGAAAGAAAACCAGTCCCAGAGATCTGGCTTGTGGAGGAACCGGCCGTGAACAGAAAGTTCCTCCCGTTCCTGCACCGAGCTCTGGTTTGGCCGGGGCCTCCTTAGGGGCCTGGCTTCGGGGGACACAGGGTTCCAAGCATCATTCTTCGCGTGCCCACAGTCTCCGCTGTGGCAGCAAGGGATTCTTTAAGGAAACTAACCCCTCCCCCTCCCAGGAAGTAAGGAAAGAACAGTGTGAGTCCATTTGGATTCCGTATCCTGTGCCTCTGCAGGGGGCGGCAGGAGAGCAGCCGGGAAGCAGGTGGGAGCCAGGGGCGTCCCCACCGCGGCGCCGGCTGCCCCGAGCCGCGCCTCTGGGCGCGGCCCCCCAGCTGCACTCTACTGCCGTCCTTTTACAATAGGTGCTTTGTTTTAGTTTTTCAAATAATATTTCTTTCATAAATATCATAGTTTGCAGTATTGTCCATTGTTCTGCTTACGTTTTGTACTCTTCCTTTTAGGCTTACCCTGTTATAAGCAAGTCTAGTAAAAGAAAACCCACGTTTACATGTTTTGCTGGGTATAATGTGCTCCTGCATATAGTGTGCACCCATGCTCTTGGCCCAAACTTTAGGAAAAAAATCTTTTGTTTTATATTTTCAACTATGTATTTATTTATATTTAGAAACAAAACCGGTTATCCTATTCCAGAGTAGTATTTTGCATACAGATATTGTGATTGCTTTCTAGAGTTACATATTTCACACATAAGCATAAATAAAATTAAAAACATTTATATAGGTGTGTAGTTAGTATTACCCATGTATAATACACATCCTTATTTTTTTCCTCAAATATTTGAGCAAAAAAGTGTGCATTATACATGACAAAATACAGCACATCACAGATAAATCAGCATTGAGGATTTGTTCCTGCCAAACATATTTTCTTTAAATGCTGACTTCTGCTTTTGTGCATTTTATATTGTGTCATTTAACCTCCCCCCACCCCACCCCACTGCAGTGCGGGGCCCCCGAGGGCGAACACTTGCAGGGGAGAGGCTCGGGAAGGAGGGGGTGCGGGGCGGCCGGCGTGGTGGCAGCGGACACGTGCCTTTCCCTCCACAGGGTTTGACACCAGCATCCTGCCCATCTGCAAGGACTCCCTGGGCTGGATGTTCAACAAGCTGGACATGAACTATGACCTCCTGCTGGACCACTCAGAGATCAATGCCATCTACCTGGATAAGTATGAGCCCTGCATCAAGCCTCTCTTCAACTCTTGTGACTCCTTCAAGGACGGCAAGCTCTCCAACAACGAGTGGTGCTACTGCTTCCAGAAGCCTGGAGGTGAGGTGGGGGGGGGGGGGGGGGGGTGGGCAGGGGCGGGGGGGGGGGGCCAAGCCCAGGCAGCCCTGCGGGGCAGGGCACCTCCCAGGGGAGGCAGACAGAGGCTGGCAGGCAGACGGGCGCAACTAGGGAGCAACGCGTTCGTCCCCTGTGCTGGCAAGCCCAAGGCTCTTTTCTCTTATGTTCTTCCTGTTCTTAACACGGTTTATTAGAATACACACGTGTTTGTTAGAGTGTTATTTTAGTCTTCCTCTTGGGAAAGTTTCGTAAGTACATTGCGCCTCAGCATTTTCATCTGTAAAATGGGTATAGAAACGTTCACTACATAATTCCCACTGTTGCATGGTTTCTCCATGCTCCCCTTAGAGAGACACCTGTCAGCCCTAGGACGGGAGGAGTCGTACCCAGTGTCTTAGACAAGGGTATTTTGGTTATAAATAAACTGAAGACAGAAGGGCGGTGAGACCTGAGGGAGCCACTGGACACAGGGTCTGGAGAAGGAACCTGCCCTTGCACAGACCCCGGGCATCCTGCGGGGGCTCCGAGGCTCCCTGAGGGCTCTCCGGCCCGGCTTTATTCCTCTGTCTCCGCTTCCTGGGGGCTGTGCCCACGTGCAGTGGTCCACAGCTCACAGCACCAGCAGAGACCGGCTTCCAACCCCAGCCCCAGGGAAACCTGGCACAGCCTAGGTCAGGTCAGCATGGCTGTCCGAGCCCCCCCCTTCCTCCGCCCCGGAAAGGAAGCTGGGTGCCAGCACCAGAGCGGCCCCCATGGGTGTGCGCGCACCGGCGGTGCCCGGCTGGCAGGGAGCGCGGCGGGCATTGCGGAAGGGCGCGCGGGGGTCGTGCCTGTGTGCATTGTGGGGTTGGGAGCTACCTTCCTAAAAGCAGAATTACTAGCCAAAGGCATGCGCATTTTTATGTTTCCGATTTGCCCTCCGAAGAATTATAACAATTTTTACTCTCATGAAAACTAAGCAACAGTACCTATTTTTCCATGGTCTTCTGTGATCATTTTCAAATTGAGGGACAAGAAATCGTATTTCCTTCTAGGTTTCAGTTCTCTTGTTACGGCTTGGGTTGAACATCTTTATGTTTGTTTGAGACACACTTAAGTTTCCTTTTTCTTGAAATGTGTGTGTGTGTTTTTTTCCTGTTGGGTTCTCATGGGTTTTTTTTTTTTTTTTAATGGGAATTTTCTGTAAGGATATTAGGAGTGTTCCAGTCATACGGATTGCAAATTTTCCCTCAGCTTTGACTGTATTTTTGGTAGGGAAAAATTTTAAGATAGATTTCTCCATCTTTTAATTTATGGCCTCTTAGAATCCATAAAGCTTACATTATTAAGCTTAGAAATGTACTTCCCACTTTAAGCTGGTAAAGAAGTTCTCATGTGTTTTCGTCACTACCGTTGGGATTCCTTTTGTGTGCGTTTACTGAAACCTTGCATCGCTTTAGATTTCTCTGGTGCAGTCTGGTGGGGCCGCAGCCACAGTCCCGCCCCCGGGATGGCTGGCCAGTTGCTCTCTGACAGTTACTGACCAGCCCGTCTTTCTGCCTCGCGTCTGAAACGCTGCCTCTGTTGCAGAGGAAACTCCTGTGTGTGCGTCTGTCTGCTCCTGGGTATTCTGTCCTGGTATTGAACTACTCATAAATCAGTTCTAAAGTATTTAAATTAGTTGCTTTACAACGTTTTAATCTCTAGTGGGGCCAACCTCCCCGGCCGTTAATATTTTTTCAGTCTTTTCCTGGATGTTCTTATATATTTTAACTTTTTGAGCTTCAGAATCAGCTTATTCAATTGAAAAAATTCTTACTGGTTTCTTTTTTAGAATCAGGCAAACATATTAATCTAGAGAGAATTGATAGCTGTAAAATATTGAATCATTTTATTCAAGAACAGGATCTGTCTATTAATCAGTGGAATTACAAGTTTTGTTCTCACAACATTATACTTCCCCTTGTGTTTACTGTTGCTGCTGTTATAAATGAAATCAATTATTTTCCATTATCTTTGCTCACTGGTGGTTGTTTCTATATTAATTTTGTTCTCAGCCACCTCACTAAATTCTCATTTTGTGTAAGTAGTTATTCTGGTTGGTCTCCTTGGATTTTTCAGGTGTGCAAGCACACCACCTGAAAATAGTGATCTTCTGTCTTCCTTTTCAATTTTTATACCTCATTTCTTTCTCTTTTCTAATCACATCTGCGAGTGCCGTCAAATCGATGTTAAATAACAGCTATGGTTTTTACTTCAGTAGATGTGCTTGCAGTGGCTCAGCAGGAAGCGTAACCACGTGACTTTAGCCAGGGGTCTCGCCTGGCCTGAGTGCCAGCCGCGGGGCGGGGCTCCCTTGCTGGGAGCTGCCCCCGCAGGATGTAGCCTCCAGGAGCGCGGTGATCTGTGGTCATTCTCCCCTTTTCTTTTTATTTTTCGTTAGGTTCCCACGGCCTCTGCCCCCCAACCCAGAACCAGTTCTGGGATTTTCACTTGTCTTCCACATGTTATTATTTCCTGTTCATTAAGGCATGTACTTGAGACTAAATTTTTTTCCAGAGTATTTCCTTAGCTGTAGACCATAGATATTGATAGCTGGTATTTTTATTATAGCTAATTTGTAGATAATTCTACAATTAAGGCTCTGAGTGCCTGTTTGGCCCAAGACAATTGTTAGCACTTTTCATGTGGTGGGATTGATTATTTGGTGACTGGTTTTGCTGTTATTTTTTTCTCTTTAGTTTTATCACTTAATTTGAGTTTTAGACTTTTTACCCCCACAAATTCTCATGGGGAATCTATTTTTTGAATTAGTCCTTGAATATGTGAAACTATTTCTATTTTCTTTATACTTAGTATCTTTGTTTTTATATAAACTTCCTGGAGTTAGTTTCTTTTCTTGGTAACTTTTTAAAACACTATTCTCCTAGCACTGGATGTAGCTACCGAATAATATGAACCCACACTAATTGCTTTCCTTCCTATTGGTGATAGAACCATTTTGCCTGGAAGCCAGAAGGACTCTTTACTTGTTCAGGCACGGATTTCCTTGGACAGGCCTTAGTTTTTCTCAGCCTGCATCACTCTTTCCTGAGAGAGGTTAGGCTCTTTTGAGCTCTGGAATTAAAACTTGTTTGTTCCATTTGATCAATCTCTTCTCAAGAGCTTCACCTCAGTTTTGTAGCTTCTGACAGAGCCCTCGTTTCTATGACATTTTCACCCTTTGTATCTATTCATAAAACACTAGTCTTACAGTCCCTTCCTCGCTAGAATTCTTGACTCCTCAGGGAAATCTTCAGTAATTATTTTCACCTGCTCAGCAGCAAACCTGTTCTGTTACGAATTCTCCACCTGGAGTTTTGTTCTGTCCTCTGCATTTCTTGCAGCAGTGGTTGTTAGCAGGTCTCAGACTGATGTGTTTATCTTTCAATAAGTAGGGATTTAAAAATTACTGTAGGACAATTGGAGGGAAACCCTTACCATGAGAAACTCTCTCATGGAAAACTCTCCAAGACCGTGTGTGCATGAACGACTGCGAGCTTCCTGCCCCTCGGGCCCAGCCTGCTGAATGCCTGCAGCTGCCGCTCTGTGTGCCTGCCGAGTGGCAAATGTGAGCATGTCCGTTTGCACAACAGGAACACTACTGGTATCCACCTTGGATGGTTATTGTAAAGCTTAAACTAATGAAGGTGTAAGTTCTAGAACATTGTCTGGTACATTCTAAGAATTAGTAACTTCATTATCATAATAAATACTAATTTGAATCATCACAGGTGGAATGTTTTAAATTTTTTAGTTTAAAAAAATTTATTGATTATGCTATTACAGTTCCCCCCCTTAGTTCATGTCCATGGTCATACATGTAAGTTCTTTGGCGTCTCCATTTCCTATACTGTTCTTAACCTCCCCCTGCCTATTTTGTACCTACCAATTATGCTGCTTAATCTCTGCACCTTCCCCGCCCAGTTGCTAACCCCCCCAAATGATCTCCATATCTATGATTGTTTCTGTTCTGCTTGCTTAGTTATTTAGATTCAGTTATTGCTAGTTGTGAAGTTACTGCCTTTTTAACGTTCGTTTTGTACTTCTTTTTCTCATCTAATTTCCTTTAGCTTTACCTTGTCTCGGAAGCACTGTATCCGCCCATCCTTTTCACATGAGAGCTCTGCAGGCGGAATTTGTTTTCCCATTTGTTTGTTTTCAATTGGTATCGTAAACCCAGCAGTAAACATGTTTCACAACCAGTTTCCTTCAAGGCACGAGCAGTAAGACCAGATGGCACTGCGAGACCCACAGGCACTATCGATGGGAAGGAACGGGGGGGCTCAGGCACGTTCTCCAGGCCCTGCGCTTGCAGGTGCAGAGGTGGCGTGAGTGCCGGAGCCTCACCACACCTGCGCCCTGCCCGGAGGACCCTGGGAGCCAAGCTCCCAGAGCTGCAGGGGCGAGTCAGGGGAAGTCTCAGAAACTAATGAGGTCACCCTTCTTTCTGCGCGGAATGGATGTTCCCTTGGAAGGTGGAAGAGCTGACACGCCAGCCACGTGCCTCGCTGGTACCGTGCTTCACAGCAGCACGTGTTTTGTAACGGGCGGGGGGCGGGGGGGGCTCGGAGGCGGGCCAGAGCGCACAGTGACACGCCATCTCTCTGGACGGCTTGTGTATCTTCACAGCTGTCCTTTGAGGCCTGTGTTTTACTTCCCTGGGTGGTAAGCCATGAGGTCCACTCTACTCCTCTTCCTCACCCCCAGCAGGACCCGGTGTTGATGAAGCATCTGTCGCCTTCCCTCTGGTCTGCTGGTCGGTGGGCCCAGAACGCATGCCCACTAGTCAGCTTCGGCGCTCAGCTCACAGAAATCTTAGCTGAGTATTTATTTATGTAAAGTCTGTCAGCAAATCACCTGTCAGGCAACTCGTATTTACCAGAGTTGGTGGTGGAAAGAAAAATTCCTGTACAGTTCAAGTAGCCCCAACAGTATTTTACGTACCTCGTGGTTTAAGTTTTTTTTTTTTTTATTAGTAACAGCATATGGAGTAATTCCACTCCCAGGTGTGTCGTTGTCTCTATTTCAAGCCAATCATTAGAGAGTATATCCTGCACCATCTGGAAAGTGACTTTCATAAATTATTTTTCAGGTCTCCCATGCCAGAATGAGATGAACAGGATTCAGAAGCTGAGCAAGGGAAAGAGCCTATTGGGTAAGTACAGTTTCTTGCCACTTGTTTAAACAACTAATTAAACCATCGTGTCTCTTGTAATGCTGCGCACAGCAACGGTGGTTCAGCTGGGGACCTGGGCTTCAGGAAGGCAGTGCCTCACTGCACCCACGCAGGCAGGTCTCTGGGCAGCAGGCGCTGTGACCCAGGCAGCTGGGCGCCATGCGAGGACTGGCCGGTGGGTGGAGAGCTAGCAAGAGAGGTGGCCCAGGGCTCGTGGGCAGCCAGGGCCAGAATCTTCCTCCCTGACCTTGGGCTGCAGGGGATCTTTGGTTATACTTGAAAGCAGAAAAAGCATTGAATGGAGTGCTCAAGGTGGTCCTTCCAACTCTAACATTATAAGGTCTGAAAATCACAGAATTGCCTCTATCCCCCAGACCAAGGTGCCCACTCAAGGAGGAAGATGAGCCACACTCCTGGCGAAGGCTGTCAGGCCTCAAGGACATGAGTGCACTCACACAGATGGTTTCCCACGCGCGACCCCCAGAGGCAGGCGGAAGGCTATTGGGACCCTGCACGCTCACAGTGGTCAGGGAGAGGCAGGGGCGCGGGTATGTGCGCCAGCCAGGCGTGACAAAACACCCGTTCCCCCTTAGCCAACCTCTCAGGGACGGCGTGGAGCAAACACCAGTATTTGGGGGGGGGGAGGCGGGAAGGAGTCTGCATTGCTTCTGTACAATAATTCAGAATTGTTCTTACTAAACATTCAGGAACAGGGCATTCCCTAAGCAGCTTGCCATTTCGGAAATTTATTTACGTGATGGAAAGGGGCAAGGTTTTTTTTAACAGATTGTCAGATATAGGCTGTCTGTGAACTCTGGCGATTTCTCCTCTTCTAATACCTCAAAGCACATGCTCCTGCTTCCTCCTGCTTTTGAAGTGTACTTATTTCACTGGCTTGCTTGCCTCGGACTCTGCTCATCTGAGAACGCTGTTCACCTCGGGACTCCAGAGTTGTGAATGTGGCCTGTTTGGGCCTCGATCCTTCTCCCATGAGAAACCATATAAAGGCACCCTTCTGATCTGCCAGCGAAGAGGCTAGACCCTCTCCAGTATAGACCCTCTCCTGTGGGTCTTTTTGCAGGGTTTGTACTTACTGTTTGGGAGGCTTTGAGTGCTGTGTCTAAGGCCCACGGGTAGTCATGGAACTAGTACAATGCTGTGTTTAAACATTTGTTTCCTTTGGCTATAGATAGTTTCTGGCTGATTCATTAATTCCTAATGGATGAGACATAAGATGTTTCATCCTCCACTTTCCTAGTGACCATGCAGCACAGCTCATAATAAAGCTTGCTTTATTTTCTTTTAATTTTTAAAATATTTTTTAAATTTATTTTGAGAGAGAGGGCATGAAACATCAATGTGTGGTTGCCTCTTCTGCGCCCCCTGCTGGGGACCTGGCCGGCCACCCACTGGTTGAGCCACACCAGCCAGGCCTGACGCTTGCTTTACATCACGTCTCCCCACATACGGAGATTACTCGGGCTGGCTCATGAAAATACCACTGACCTGGTTACAAATTATTTTTCACATGAAACCTTTTAATATAATATTGTATTCAAGGTCATTTCGATTTAAAAAATTAATAGAAAAAACAAGCAACAACAAATTACACTTAAGTATAATTAGTGCCTACTCAGAAGAGTGGGAACCCTATTACAGTGTACATTTAGAGCAGCGCCTGCCGCTTCCCAGCCAGGGCTCGGCCCGCTAGGTCTGTCCGTCCCCGACTGCAGCTCACGGAGGAGCAGCACGTCCTCCGGCTCTCTCCTAGTCACAGGTCGCTCTGCGCTTTGGTTTGGAAAAAGCATCCACTTTTCTTCCTCCTACTCCCTGAAGACTTGGGGCGCTGAGCCCCTAAGTGTGTAGGTGTGGCATCAGCAGCCTTGCCTATCCCTTAGGAATGGCTTTCTGGGGACACTTTCCCTTCCATGACGTCTAATAACCTGGTCACCTTGAATAGCCAGTGGGCTGGGTGTTTGGAGTCATTCCTACAATCAGCTGGAATCTGGGGTCAGATCCAGGCTCAAATAATAGAAATCTCCCTCCTAAGCCACCTTTCTTTCTGGGGTCTGTACCATAAAGAAAGAAGTAAATTTAAAAAGATACTTATTCTAAAAAAAAAAACAAACAAAAAAAAAGAAAAAACCCAGAAAATCAGGGAGTAGGAAACCGCGGCAGAAACCTGCCTGCACACGTTTGCTGCAGACGGTGTCACCTACGCGGGCGGCCGCCCCCGCAGGACGTGCGCACAGCCAGGAGGCAGTCCCTACCGAAAGCTAAGCAGCAGCGGAAATAAGGCTCACCCGCGGTGAGGTGCCAGTCGGACCCACGACGCTGGCTTAAGGAAACAGTGTCCTCGCTGTGCTGAGAGGAAGCCCTTTGACCTGGAGGAAGCGTGTCCCAGCGAGCACGTGCACGTGGGTGACTGGGGTCCCCGGCGCGGCCCCGGGCCGCTGCAGTCTCACTCAGACGGTTCGCCCTTCAGGGGCTGAACGGCCCCTGGAGGGGTGAGCTGTGAAAAAGACAGGGAGTTAAAGCTGGAGGGACGCTCTATAAAAATGTTCCGAGAGCCAGCTGCACTACCAGTTTCAGGCGTGGTGGCAGTGAGAAAATGTGGTAAAAATGTGTTAAATTTCTGATTTATGCAGGAAGAAAACAGAGATGGATTTTAGATCTTATAAGTAAAAATATTCTCTGTGGAAAATTTAAGGGTAACAAGGATATAAGAACTAGACTTTATCGTTTTTTAAACCTATAGAAGAAAAATATGGAAGATACACTTATATCAACAAAAGGGGAAAATAAACAGAAATCACAAAATAGGGTGGCAGAAATAAGAGCAAGCCTATCTGTAATCACTGTAAAGATGAATGGGTCTGACTCATTCAGAGATTATCACTTAGTATTTTTAAAAAGTTACATATAAAACACAGAAACTTAAAAGATACTAAGAACTCATTTTTACAACAACATTAAAATCTGACAGAAGCAAATACTTTGTTTTGAATTCTAAACATAAAGACAATATCGTCTTGCTGAAATGTCCCTTTTACCACATGATGCCATCAATTGGTATATTCGTAACTTTAAAACAAACTGTCATATTTCATAATCACAGTCAGGGACTTAAATATACATCTCTCCTTGAAGCTTATAGTTCAAGTAGGCAAAACTATATAGAGAAAGAAGAATTGACTGGCATGATTAGTTAGCACTCATACATATGTATTCCTGTACATCAGCATAGACTACACGAATATATACAGTCTTTTCAAACACATATCAAATATTTGCCATGGATTTTGCCAAAAAGAGAACAAATCTCAAAAAAAACAAAATCACAGATCAAATTCACATTATAAAAGTAGAAGTAAAAAATGAGATTGCGAAACCCCAAACGTCTGGGGTTTTTTATAATTACTCAAAGATGAAATGCAGTCAGTATAATCCACAAACACTTAGAACTGACAGAAAAGGAAAGCACCATGTCCCGGAATTGAAGGAAAGTAACTAAAGGGAAACCCAAGAGGAACATTCATAGTTTCAAATGAATTCGTGAAAACAAAAAACGAACAGGTTTCAAATCAGGAAGCTATACCAGCACCACAGTAAACAGGAATGATTAAGACTAAAGCAGAAAACAATGAAATTGGCCATCCTGTGCCAACATCGAAGAGTCCAGTGCTGTCATGACCTTAAACATGGGCTGTAACCCCAGGTACAGGAGGGCGCTGCAGACTTGCGGCTCCGCCCTCAGTAGGCACCGCAGTCACTTGGGGGGTTTGTTAAAGCGCAATTTCGTGAGCCTTACTCTCAAAGTCCCTGATTCAGTAGATCTGGGGTCAGATCCAAGAATTTGCTTTTCTAAGATGTTCCAGCTGCTAGTCCTGTGTGAACACTTTGAGAGCCACTGATATAAACCAATTTATCACAATTAAGAAAAACTAGTTGAAATGGACACTATGAATAACCACATTTAAGCTGCAAAGAACCAGAAGGCCCAACTAGATTAAAAAATATGAAATTAATTTAAATCAAGATGCTACTTTCATTCCCCCAAATATGCACCAGGCCCAAAATATTTTTATGAATGAATACTTGATGAAAGAGAGTGTTCTCAAAGAGAAAAATACCCAAATCATTTCGTAATATGAATCAGTAATCAAAATTCTCCCAAAGAAGAAAAGCCCAGGACCAGATAGCAGATGGCTTCACTGATGAATTTTACCAAACATTTAAAGAAGAATTAATACCAGTCCTTCTCAAAGCCTTTCAAAAAATGAAAGAGGAGGGAACACTCTCCAATTCGAGCATTACCCTGCTAGCAAAGCCAGAGAAGACACTATGAGGAAAGCACAGGCCAATGTTCTTGATGAATGCAGATGCAGAATTTCCAAAGCAGTATGAGCAAACCAAAGTCAGCAGCATCTAGAAGGCTAATTTGCCGCGATCAAGTGGGATTTATCTCTGTGACATAGGATGGTTCAATGTATGCAAACCACCCGAAGCGATACATCGCATTAAAAAAGGGTAAAATCATGTGATCATCTCAATAGATACAGAAAAACTGGGTGACAAAATTCAGTAATTGTCCATGATAAAAACTCAGAGCAAATTAGTTATAGAAGGAACATACCACAACATGATAAAAGCCACATACGGCACGACCGCAGGTAGCATTGCTCAGCCAGCTCTCACCGCTCCTGTCTGACCTGGTGCTGGAATCCCAGCCAGCACAGTCAGGCTCCGTAAAGAAGTGTTTAAGTAAATGAAATAGATCAGAATTGGAAAGAAGTAAAATTGTTTATATTGCAGATGACATGATTTTCTGTTTTTAAAAAACCCTAAATACTCCACCAAAAGCCTATTAGATCTAATCAACTAATTCAGTAAATATTTAGTGTACAAAATCAACATGCAAAAATCAGTAGCATTTCTATACCTTAATAACAAATTATCTGAAAAAGAAATAAAATGACTCCGTTTACAGTAGCATCAAAAATAAAATACTTAAGAATAAATTTACAGTTTATTGAAGGCCAAAGAGCTCTGCATTGAAAACCATGAGACATGAATGAAAGAAATCAGACGCGAATAACTCAAAAATAAATCTTGTGTCCATTGATTATAAGAATTAATGCTACCTGAAGCCATCTATCTATAGATCTCTAACAAAATTTCAATGGCATTTATTTACAGTAGGAAAAAAAAATCCTAAAATTCGTATGGAACAACAAAAGACCCCAAACAGCCAAAACAGTCCTTAGAAAGGAGGACAAAGCAGTGAGCATCACACTTCTGATTTCAAGCTATATTATAAAGCTTTAGTAATTAAAACCACATGGCATAAAAATCAGACACGCAGACCAACAGAAGAGAATCAAGAGCCCAAAAATAAACTCTTGCATATACAGTCAATTAATGCTTGATAAGGGACCCAAGAAAACTCCAAGGAGAAAAGAGTCTGTCCAAAAAAGGGTGCTGGAAGAAATAGATATTTATATGTAAAAGAATAACGCTAGAATTCTGTATTATACCACCCACAAAATTAACTCAGAATGGAGTAACGACCTAATTGTAAAACCTGAAACCAGGAGACTCCTAAAAAAAGACCCCCCCAGAAAAAAAGGCTCCTTGACATGGTTCTTAGCAATGACTGTTGGGATCTGACACCTAAAGCACAAGCAACAAAATATAAAGCAAACGCATGGGGCTGAGCCGGACCGAAAGCTCTGCACAGCCATCAAGCCATTACAGCCATCAAGCCATCGACAAAGTGAAAAGAGCCTGTGGAATCGGAACACATCTGCAAGCCATGCATCTGGTAAGGGGTTAATACCCAAAATATATAAGGAACTCATACAACTCAATAGCAAAAAATCATCATCATCCAATTAAAAATGGGCAAAGTGCTGGAATCGAGGCATTTGCACAGAAAATATACAAATGGCCAATAGGTACATGAAAATGTGTTCAACGTCACTAATCATTAGGGAGATGCAAATCAAAACCACACAGAGATCGCCTCACGCCTGTTAGAACAGCTGTCACTAAAAAGGTAACATGCTGGCGGAGGGGCACACACAAAAGGGACCCCTGCACACGCTGGCGGGGCCGTAAATTGGCGCGGCCACTGTGGGAACAGTATGGTGGCACCTCAAAAAGTTAAAAACAGATCTACTATACGATCCAGCAGTCCCACTTTTGGGGGTTATCTGAAGAAAACGAAAACACCAACTCAAAAGAACATAAGTCCCCTGTGTTCATTGCAGCATCATTTACAATCGCCAAGATGTGGAAGCAGCCCGAGTGTCCACTGATGGATGAATGTGGGGGGGAGAGAGAGAGAGAGAGTGTGTGTGTGTGTGTGTGTCTCTCTCTCTCTCTCTCCCCCCATCCATCCCATGGAATATTATTCAGCCATAAACGCAAAGAAAGTCCTGCCATTTGTGACAACATGAATGGACCCTGAGGACACTGTGCCACATGAAATAAGTCAGAGAAAGACAAATCCCTGTATGATCTTGCCTGTATGTGGAATCTAAAAAAACAACCTAAGTTCATAGAAAAAGAGAGCAGATTTATGGTAACCATAGGCAGACAGGCGAGGGAGTTCAAAAAGCACACATGTCCAGTTTGGAGGTTAGCGTTAGGGACACAGCACAACATGACAACTGTAGGTACCACCGCTCGTAGGTGTGTATCTAAGTTGTTAGGAAAGTCAATTCCAAGAGTTCTCATCATGAAGGAAACTTTTTTCCTGGGTTTTGGTTTTTTTTTTTTTGGTATGTATATGAGATGATGGATATTAACTAAACCTATCGTAGTAATCACTTCACAATATAAGTAATCCACACATTGTGCTATGCATCTTAAATCTGATGCAGTGCTATATTATACCTCAATAAAACAGGAAAACCGTAAAAAATAAGTTATTAAGAAGAGTGGTATGTATTTGTGATGTAAAGGGGAACATAGGAACTCATCGAAGAAAGACTGCAGGGAACCCTGTGGGCCCGAGGGAGCCCCGGGCCCTGCAGCCTGGCCTGAGCGGCAGCCCATCGCCCGGGCCCGCCCGCCGGCCCTGCGGCAGAGACCGCGCTGCCCTGCGGGCCCTTCTCCTGTGTCTCGGCAGGAGCGAGCCTGAGCTCTCTCCCTTCTCTGGCCCCCCAGGAGCGTTCGTGCCTCGGTGCAACGAGGAGGGCTACTACAAAGCCACGCAGTGCCACGGCGGCACGGGCCAGTGCTGGTGCGTGGATAAGTACGGGAACGAGCTGGCGGGCTCCAGGAAGCAGGGCGCCGTGAGCTGCGGTGAGTGAGGCCTTCTGCGTCCGCGCCCGGGGACCTGCAGGTCCTGGCCGTGCTGGGATCTGAGTAGGAGAATTTCAGGAGGTGGCTGTGGTCCACAGGGAGTGAGCGTGCAGTGGGGTCAGTGACCTGAAATTGCAGGAGATCCTGCAGAGCCAGTTCTTGCATGAGACCTTCGCAGGCCAGGCAAGGGCGGCCGAGGCCGCCTCACTTTCCAGTGAGGGCTGCAAACCCCGCCGCGAGGGCAGGGGCGCCCCGGGAGTTCCGGGGCTCCCATCAGAACACAGCTGGGGCCTCTGCCAGAGGATTAACCCCGCCAGGACAGGGACACGCGTGGCTTTGCCCTGCAGTTAAGTCACATGCAAGGTCATGCATGGAAGAGACACTAACCTCCAACCTTTTCTACCTTCTCCACGTTTCAGAAGAGGAGCAGGAAACCTCGGGAGACTTCGGCAGCGGCGGCTCCGTGGTCCTGCTGGACGACCTGGAGGACGAGCGGGAGCTGGGGCCCGGGGACAGGCTGGGGAAGCTGCGGGTGCGTGCCCGGGCCCTGACGGAGGACGACGAGGACGAGGACGACGACAAGGAGGACGAGGTCGGCTACATATGGTAGTCCCCGCGGGAGGAGGACACAAGGTTGGTACAAAATTGCAAGTCACTTCCTGTCCCTGCATTTGTATCCAAGACTCCACGGCGCCACTGTTGCTCTCCCACCCGACAGAGGCCTGGAGGGCGACTCCTCGCTCCCAGAGACTCCTGGTTTTGCACACGGTCTGTGGGAAGAGGGGCTGTGCTTTGTCTTTAGACCGGGGAATGGCTGGCTGAGTCAGAGCCCCCTTCCTGCCCCTGAGACTTTTGCAAGGAGCATGTGACTTGTGTGGGATTCTGGCAGTGCAGGGAGCCCCGCCCTCTAACGTCAAAGCCCCCCTCCGAGCCCCCGCACCGGTGGTTACTGCAGCATGGTTCCCGGCCTGACGGTGTCTAAGTGCTTTTCTTGTGTCTCGTAGATGTCGTGGAAAACACACCACACTGTACTTTATTCCCCCTGCTCCCTGCCACCCCTGGTGTTTATTATGAAAATTAGTTATTCACATCCCCATATCTGGCTTCCTACAAACAGCAGCCTTAATTCAGTCAAGAGTCCTTTGGGGAACTGATTCTCTTTATTTAAAAAATGGTGTCGGGATGCTTCTCTCCGTACCTGCATGATAGGTAGGTACGTACAGAAGAGACTGTGTGGGGATGTGAGGTGCACCCTCTGCTCAGAAAAACTGTTTGGCTACCTATTAAAAACTCATATGGAAAACAATTATAAACATGTGAGCTTGTCCAGACCTGGATCACAATTTCTGGAATAAAAGTGTGTGTTAAAGTCCTTTCTTGCACTAACAGTTGGCACTTACAGGCTGCAGGCGGGGAGGTTCCTTCTCACTGGGACCCCTCTGACCGGAGGAGCCTCTGCCTGCCCGCGACGCTCCCCCTGCACCAGCCGTGCGAAGCCCGGTTGGCGGGGGGCGGTGGGGGGAGCTTCACAAGCCGCCCCTTTCATTGCAGTGCAAAGCCCCCCGCCGGCTGCAGGGCCTGTCCACCTCGGGCTCCTCCCTCCCCACCTACTCAAGGGCTTTTCCTAAGGTACGCACACCCGCTGGCTGAGGAGACAGCACCACCCATTCCCCAGGAGGAGGTTCAGGTTTCCTCCAGCAGGGTGTTGCTTGGGCCCCTTTCCACCACCGGGGGCGTGAGGGAGCAGGGCAGGACGGACCGGCGGAGGCCCGGGAAGGGCTTCACAGGGAAGACGCCAGGCTGGCTGTTAGAGCTAGTCCCGTCCCGTGCCGGCTGCACGCGCGTCACCGCACCAACGAAGGCGGCCCCTCCGCGCTTGCCTTTCGGTCCCCTCAGTGAAATCGCTGTTAGAGGCCATCTCCAAATTGGTAGGGCCCTCATCTCCGTCATAGTCGTCAGGATTTCTGTCCCTATTGGGCTGGCCCAGATTCGAGGACAAGTACCAAAGAGCAGCTTTCCGAGCGGCCCTGTTTAGCCCAGTGCCGGCCCCGCAGCTCCTGCCCTCCTGGCTTCCCCCGGCCCGATGCCCGCCCAGCCGCCCAGCCGGGTGCGCCCTTGGGCCACGTTTGTTCCCCTGCCCTTCCCCAAGGGCTCCAGCCAGGCCACGGACCACGGCAGCTCAGGCAGAAAGTGCCCTCAGCCGGCCTGTGATCGCAGTGGCAGCTAAGCAACCCACCACCCCAAAACGGCCATTTCCTTGTACTTTTCCCACCCACCACAAACTACCGTTCCCAACCCTTGCTCTGGCGGACAGAGTGGCATTATTCCTGAGGTCAGTCTCAGACGGACACGGACATGCTGAAGGCGCGAACTCCTCGGGCTCCGCGAGGCACCAGCACCCCTGGGGCCTCGACGCAGGGAGGCCGAGGCGGCTCTGCTGCATCGCAACTCTGTCACCTCTGTTGTAATTTTTTTTCCTAACTTGCACAAAACTTTGAGATCATAATTTAGAAAACAGGTGCTTAATTACAGCTAAATTACAATAGAGTATATAACAAGAATCAAGACATTAAAAAAAATCTCAGTTTAGATCCTCAAAGAAAGCCATTGTTACTGTCTCCTCCGAGCCTGGAAAAATGCAAAGGAGAACAAATTAAAATCGACAAATTGATTTCACTTAGAGAAACTAATTATCTTATGACAAGTGTCAAATTAAGATGACACTTAAAGATCCTTAGCATTAACTTAATGATGGAGAAGAGTGCTCAGTAGTCAATTCTCAGGAAGGTAATGAGATGTTCATTTTCAGAGATATTCCAAGAAGATATTTTGATTCATTAAACTATTAAATAAAAAGCCCTCCTCCCCGCAGAACCCCACACCAGCGGAGCCACGTTAACGCCACTTCTCACGCCTCACTTGGGCACAACAGCATTAGATTTTTTTTTTAAAGGTCTTTAATGCTTTTCATAAGTGAAAAGTACTAAAGATCAGATTTTTTTTCTTTTTTTTTTAGTTACACTACGCTTAGAAGTAGAATTTTTTTTTTCTTTCTTTTGGCAGAAATCTTTTAGCTAGTGACACGGTATACATAAAAATCGTTATTAACCAATACTCCTGTGACAATCTAATCCCTTGTTTGAGACAGGTGTTGAGTCCTTACTAATAAACTCATTTTTGGAGACTACTTAGTGAGTAGTTTCATTCTTATTCCATAAATGCTTCTCTTAATACCATTTCATTAACTTCCAACTTAAACTCCAGAATTCCCCCCACACCGTGGTTAGCTGTCCGCCATATTGATGTCTTTGGTTTCCATAAATATCCTAGGCATGCAAATACCTTACTACGAAATTTGAGGTTTTGTGTCAGTTTCCCCAGGCCCAGCAATGAATGACGGCATGTCTGTCCAGGTCTGCCCCTCTGCTTTTCCCAGGATGCCATTCATTTTGTTTTTCACCTTGACAACACAGAGCAGTAACATCCAAGAGCCCTTTCTACAGTGGGTGGTTTTGGTCTTTTTCTACCTTTTTCTCAAAGTCACTGATGTTTGTCCCTGTTCAATGTGTAGCATTGTAACAAGAGCCACCAAACCCTGATTGTCAGTTTGTTGTCCCTATTGTAGATGAAATAGTGATGTAGAAAAACTTAGTAAATTCTGAATGCTTTTCCACATAGACTTACCTGGAATGTGAACACGACTCTTTGGTTAATAGTAACTGCGTAACTGTAGTCCTGAGTAGGTGCATCTCTGTCTGTCTCAATAAATTTTAATTTGTCTGCAACATCCGAGTGTTTGCATTCTGTTAGCGTGGACGCGCACTCCCCGGACACGTCCACACCCGGCCTCCAGGGGACAGCGGGGGCGGCCGGTGCAGACCCAGGCGCACCCGGGGCCCCTCGGGCAAGAGCCGCTCGGCCAGGCGCCTCTTCCCTGCCGCTTTCGCCCGTCCCGGGCTTCAGTGCGGCTCCTCAGCCCCTGCCTGTTCTGCTTTTCTGCTGCTGCTCTGCTTACCGCAGTAAACCTTTTCCGTGCTGCCCCCTCCTTCCCTCCCCAGTCATTCTCCGATTCTCCCGAAAAACAAATCTCAGTCCTTCACAGGGACTCTAAGTCCTCCTGAGTTCGTGGATTAACATACGAGATGCTTGTCGAAGCACCTGTGTTGGAGCAGGAACTGTTTCCCCCCCGCCGTTATGCACGCGTAGGCCAGTGCGTCTGTGACTTAATTATACCCAGAGTGAGTAATTTCACCGAGTGCCAAGGACGAACTACCCTATGAATAATTCGCTTCCTGTGCCCCACGGGCTGGGCCGTGCAGGCAGTCCACAGACCGGCAGTTCGCGGAAAGGCGCTTCATGAACCCACAAGCTAGCTAACGCCAGGAGAACGGTGGCCGCTGCCCTTACAGGGAAGCTGGCACTGTGGGCACGCTGCACATCCCGCGAGGCCAGCACCGCCGCGCCAGCCCAGGGCAGCCCTCCAAGCTCAGGCACGTCACGCGAGCGGAAGGTCGCAGCACCGCCTCACAACGCCCAGTCAGCTGGGAGATTTTCTTTGACAAATTTGTTCAAGGAAAGGGGCAGATTTCAAAACGTATCCCTTCGACAGCTTTTACAGATCCCATCAGTGCATGTGTAGGTTCATAGACTCGTGCATGTCAGATGGGCTGACTCCACCCTGGGCAGCCCCATCTCAGCTCCGGGGACGTCAGTGCAATCAGCCGGCGCCTGCTCTGTCATCTCCTTAAAGTCAGCAGACGAGGCAGAGGCTGTGACAACGGAGGCCAAGGGGCATGGTCCTCGGCAAAGGGGGCCACTGCGGCCTTGTCACGGCTTGTCTCTCCAGGCTCCTCCCGCCTGTCACTCCCGGCGTTCCTCCGCCTCTCCGACCTTCCTTTCGGGTCTCGCACATGTACTTTTGCTCTCCCGCGTCTGTGGGTTTCGTGTGCCTGAGGTCTGTGTCCCTGGCCCACTCCTCCTCACATGCTTTCTCTAGACAGTCTCACCTGGGCCACGGGAGTCTTGCATGCGCCGCTCTGGAGGCCCCCAACCCACGTCTCAGGCTTGGGTTTGACGTCCACGCCATCCTGACATGATCGCCTGCCATTTACATAATTCCACCCAAATCTACCACTGATGCCTCAATTTCAAACCTTAAAAAAATCAAACTGATGGGATGGACCAGAGAGCGCACGAACCTGTGGCAGCCGGACTCAGCGAGGCTCTTCGCAACACGTGCCCACAGCTGGGAGCTGGAACGAAATCACTGACCAGTTTCCCTCCATCAAAATTACTATCACATCATAAACACACTTAAAAGATAAACAAGAAACTAAAGAAGACATGGGTGACAAAGAAGATGAAGGATTGGCTGTAAAATTTTGTTGAACTCCTACAAATCCGTAAGAAAAATATAGTCCAATAGGCTAACGGGGAAAAGATAAGCACAAGTGATTCATGGAAGGCAAACAAATGGCAAGGGAACCATGCCTCCCCTCCCTCATGATCCGAAGAACACAAATTAAAGCAATGGCCTATCAGTTTCCACTCAGAAAAAATCATGGCATAAAGCACAGCCCTGCATATCACGCGGCGGGAACAGCTGCGCGTGGGTGGCCGGCCGGCTGGCCAGTTGCCATCAAAAGAGACATGTCCACCCTCGGGCCCAGAACTCCACTGCTCAGCACCTAGTCCTGGAGGGAAGTAATCGCACCAATTTACAAAGGTGCAGGGCTATGTTCACAGCAGCATCATTTCTTAGAACAAGAAGTCAGACAAAATTAAGACTCCATCAACGGGCACATTGGGGTCCTCAGTCCCTGGAATGTCGTGTGCCCCAGTCAAAGAGGGTGAAGGAACTTCCGTGCACTGATGTAGCAGAGCTTCTAAAGTGTCAGATGTAAGAGGAAAATCTCAAGTGACTGAATATTAACTATTAGGTTGTCCGTCTAAAGGCGACAGCTCCACCCTCCCCAGGGGGCTGTGGGAGGACACGCACGCAGCCGGAGGCGGCGCTGGCCGCCGGGGGAAGGGCAGCGGCTGGTGGCCATGAGGGCATCAGCCTCATCTCTGTGGTTCACTTTTTGTCAAATCACAAAGGCAGTATACCATAATGTCTTGTGCAATTTAAAAATTAATATTTAAAAAATAATTTATCAGCTTCTCCAGAATTTCTCCGCCTGCGCTCCTTGGCTTCAGGAACGATACCACCACTGGTGCCGTTCTCAACTCCCAAACTGTAATAAGCCACTAAATTTTGTCGACTCACGTTTCTGCATGTCTCCTCCTCTCGATCTCAGCACCAGTCACAGTCCTGACCACCGTCACTTCTCGGAGCTGTCCTGGGAGTTTTAGCTGGTGGCCCAGCTCCCATCCCGAGTGCTGCCACCGCCAGGATGCTTTATTCTCCAGACAAACCTCACCCTGTCGCGGCCATTCTTAATTTTCAAGGTTTCCTGTCACTTTCAGGACCAAATATAAACTATTTGGCTGGGAAACAAGTCCTTGTAATTCGTTCCTTTGCACCTCTTTGTCCCCTTGCAGTTCTCCTTCCTCAAGTCCTAATTGCTTTCCCCCAGCGCCTGAGCCCTGCCCGGGCCTCTGCCCACGCTCCTGACAGTCGCTTTGCCTGGACGCCTCTGGGGCTCAGCTCGGTGCGCCCTCCCCCAGGGCGCCCAGAAGAACAGGGCATTCCTGTCTTTTCCTCTGCACGCAGAGCTTGGTAGCTGCCACGTCCAGTTGCCCTATCAAACGTGAACCGTCCTCAGCAAGAGAGAGAACGAAATGGCAGAGTAGGACACTCCAAGCCCCTATTTCCCAGGGAAACATTAAAGAACAGCTAAAACCTAAAATAAACTTTTAGGAGCTCTATAAAGTTAAAAAGTCTGCAGTGACCAAAGGAACACCTAATCAACAAAAAACCACATTCCAAACGGTAGGAAAGTTTGTGGTGGTTTTACTTGCTCTGCACCACTCTCTCCCCTGGGCAGCACGGCCTTGATCTGGAGAAGGCGGCATCCCGGTTCCCAATCCCATCCCACAAACCGGAAGGAACAGGGACGACCTTTGGGCAGCGTTCTAGCCAGCCTGAGGTCTGCCTGAAGGACCGGTCTTCGTGTCACCTCCCATGGCCTCAGGCGGGGAGAAGCAGCGGGCACCGCTCCGAAGCCACAGGGAGACCCAGACCATGGTGCCTGGGGTCGGATGGTGAGTGGGTGCGGGGCGGACCGCCCGAGCCGCTGCAGGAACGCTGAACCGAGCGAGGCCTTCTGGGAAACTAAGATGTTCAGACGTGGGGAGGGGAGGGCTATGCAGAGGCCAGGCAAGGTGCAGCCCGAGGCGGGAGGCGCGAGAAAACCGAGCCTTTTCACCTTGGGTTGATCTAAAGCCTGACAAGCCCAGTTAATTAGGGAAGGACTGCCCTGGCGCAACGCTGGTCTGCAGAGACCGAGAGCTGTGGCTGGTTTTCTTCCCCCGAATGCCCTATATGCAGCAGCAACAACAAAAACCACACGACAGATGAACCGTCAAGAAAACATACCCCATTCAAAGGAGGAAAATAGGGGAGCAGAAATTATTCCTGAAGAAGCAGTGCAGGTAATGCTAGGCAGGTGAAACTTTAAAATAACTTCCATAAGTGTGTTTAAAGAGCTAAGGGAAGGCCTGAACAAAAAATGAACTAATAAAATCAGGAAAATGACATATAAACAAAACGAGAATATGAGCAAAGAGAAATTATATAAAAGAACAAGACAAAATTATAGAGCTGAAATATACAATAATTAAATATAAAAACTCACTGGAGGAGTTTAACTACAGATTTGAGCAGGCAAAAAAAAAAAAAATCAGTGAGATTAAAAATAAGACATTTTAAATTACCAGGTCTGAGGCGCAGAAAGAAAAAGAAATGAAGAAAAGTGAATGGGGCCTAAGGACTTCTGGAATGCTATAAAATAGACTAAAATAAACACTATGAGAATCCCAGAAGGAAAGGAAAAAGGTAGAGAAATAATTGTTTGAAGAAATAATGGCTGAAAATGTCCCAAATTTGAGGCAAGACAATGAATTTACATATCCAAGAAGTTCAATGAATTTGAAGCTGGATAAATGCAAACTGGCACACACGAAGATACACCATAAGCTATAAAAGTCCAAGCAGAAGAAAATAATCTTGAAAGCAACAGGAGAAAAGTGACTGGCCACATATAAAGTATCCTCAGTAAGATTATCAGCAGATTTTCCAGCAGAAACCTTGGAGGCTAGAAGGCAGCAGAACAAAATTACTCAAAGTGCTGAAATAAAAACAAAAGTTGTCAACCAAGAATCCTATAACCGATACAAATGGCCTTCAAAAATGAGGGATAAATTAAAGCTCTAAGATTAATAAAAGCTGAGGGAGTTCATTACCACTAGTCTCATCTTACAAGAAATATTAAATGGAGTCCTTCAGGTTGAAATGAAAGGATGCAAGACAGTAACTCAAAACCATGTGAAGCTATAAAATTCTCTGGTAAAAGTATATATATGAGCAAGTATAAAAAACAGTATTGCAATTTTTGTTTGTAACACTTTTTATTGTCTAAAAGATCTAAAAGAAAATGTATATACTCATTATAAATCTAGGTTAATGGGCCCACAATATATAAAGATATAATTTGTGCGATCAATAACATTAATGGGAGGGATGATTATATAAATGAGCAGAATTTTTATAGGCAATTCAAGTTAAGTTGATGTCAATTTATTTTTTAAATTAATTTATTTTTAGAGAGGAG